TAAAACAATTCCTAAACTGACTATTTTTAGTAAACTTCGCCGGTCTTGCTCCGAACACCATCGGAAACCTGATCGAGCAGGAAGAGGGGATGGCTTCGAAAATCATGCGCGTCAACTTGATGAGCTGCATTCGGGTATAGCTTTACTGAAGATACTTTCTTGGCTGTAAATTTAACATGACCACAAACTACAAGAAAAATGGGAATTCACGTTTAACATTTTACATGACCCTTCAACTTACAGATGAACGAGCTTGTGCTCCCAGGAATGGTCAAGAAAGATCAAGGCATCATCGTCAACATGAGCTCAATGACGGTATGTTTCTGAGCTATTTCAGGTACCTTTGAGCTTTCGACAGCGCTAAAGTATCAAATCAAAATATCATTTAAGCGAAGGCTAGAGCTTTGAAGCGTATTAAACGCTTTCTGACCTGGAAACGCTTTAGACAAAAACGAACAAATTCCGCAACTAGTCGTTTTCACGTTTTGTCTAGACTAGGGGAAGCGCTAGCAAACCAGAGCCATGAAATTCGTGAAATGGGTAGTTCGAAAAGGGCGCAACGCCTGGCTGCAAGGACGTACACGTCATGGAATTCAGCAGATTTTGTTCATTGGTCCAAAAAGCAGCAAAAAGTAGAGGACTTCTCCCTCTCCCTCTCCCTCTCCCTCTCTCTCTCTCTCTTTCCATAAAACTATCTGAAAAGCTTATACAACATATTTTTTTAAACCGAATGGATACCGTGTACCTAGAGCCTCAATGAAGGCGTCGGCGAAGCTTTTGTAAGCCCAAATCCAACTAAATGACAAGAGAATGCCACTACTGTCATTTACAACCCCACAAAAACCGTGATGTCTTTAGTTAGGCGTCACCACCTGACGACGCCCAAATTTTAATCCGTTGAAAGTGCGCCCCGAGGGGCGAGCAATGCTCAAGAATGAAAAGCCCAATTTCAGGGATGACGGGACGCGTTTTAAGGGGCGCACTACTCGAAGGGAACGCTTCAAATTTTTGGGGTAGCCTGAGTTGAGATCAAATAGCATGCGGAGACAGACAGAGAGAGAGAGAGAGAGAATGAGAGAGAGAGAGAGAGAGAGAGAGAGAGGGAGAGAGAAAGTGCGAGAATGAGAGAGCGAGAGAAAGTGCGAGAAAAATAGAGAGAGGGCGAGTGAGTGCGACAAAGAGGGAAATAGAGAAAGAGAGCTAGAGAGAGAGACTGACAGAGAGTGGGAGATCGAAAGAGGGAGGTGCGAGAGTGAGAGATAGAGAGAGCGATACGTGAGAAATTCGAGCAATAAAGTGTAGTATCACTTCGTGACCTAAGCAGTTCAAAGTGTCACCAGCCCCAAGAAATAAATTAGACGAGCGCAAGGTTGCATTTTTTCGCAGCATGTTTCTCTGGAACGCCACCCCCACCCACCCAAATTCCCAATTCGCGCTCTGGCCCCAAAAATTGGCTTGGTTTTCACGATTACTCAAGCCTCAAGCTCCATGACAAATCGTGTAGCGCCCGATGTGTTTTATTGGCAATCAAAAATCTCGTGGAGGTCGCAAAGATGTTGTAAGATTGCTCAGAAATTCCGCAAACAATTTTTTAAACAATTAGTTTGTTTTCTCGAGTTCAAAATTGCCGCTAGCGCGAAATATTCTAGAAAACTTGACGAAAACACATCCTAAACTTAAAAAGCCTAAAATTATCAGAGTAAAAGATTTTTTCGGCAATTCTATAGCAACAAAGCACAATCTAGGACCACAATGCAACCCAGACCGATCAGCCAGTTCGAAAATGAAAAATCGCAACCCCCTTGCCCCGACGGGTCATTTAATTATACCTACCCAGGAATTCACGAGGGACCCTCATTTTCCGCTAATTCCCCGATTTCACTTACCCTTTGGCCGGTTGCTGCCTTAATTCCGGGTCGCTGATTCGGGTCCGAGGTTCTGAGAACGGGTCAAAAACAAGTTTATGTTTTGGTAGACTACCGGCGCTCAGAAATTAGCATAGGAAGGCAAGAATCTATTTGAAGGGATGGTGTCATTAAAAATATCATATCATAATCGCATTTTCTCTCTACGTCTCTGTCTTTCTCTCCCTCTCTCTCACTCGCTCTCCCTCTCGCTCGCTCTCTCTCACTCTCTCTCACACACTCTCTCTCAATCGCTATTAGGCTTTATTTCACTCTCGCATTCACACTCACTCTAGCTCCTTTCAAAACTCAAGGTAGACCGATTCCGGAACGTACGCATTCTCAAGAAAGTCTTAAAAATCGGCAAGATGAGAATGACGATTCCGAGCCGGACCACAAAACAATAAGTTTCAAACTTAAGTAAGGTTCGAAAGCAAAAAACTTCCTCATAAATGAGCCGCCCAAGTGGCTTTCAAGTGGGGGGCCGGAAGTTGGTGAAAAACGGGGGGGCATGCATCCGATATTAGTGGCAAGAACTGGAGGAGCCGAGCTTGCGGGCTATCAGCATCTAGAAGAATGTCTCGAAATTGTTGTCTGAGCATTAAATTGAGGGTAACAAAAAGATATTGATAAAAACTTCCATAGGCTGTAATTTCATCACCCCGAAAGCTTAGGCTTAGCCGTAACCGAACCAACGAAAATTCTTGATCTCAGTGGCTCGATGCAGAACTAATCCTTTTTGATTAGAAAAGAGTAGAGAGCATTTTAATTTTAATGGAAAAATCAAGAGCCTTTTTCAGGGATGGCGCCCGCTTCCGTACACCAGCTCTTACCCGGCTAGCAAGGCTGCAATTTCGTTCTTCTCCGATACACTGTCAGATGAGTTCCGAGGGACCGGTGTGAAGGTTCAGGTATGTTTTTACTTCTTGTTAATGTTGCATGATTGTTACTTCTAAATACAACTAGAGTGCAGTACTACTTTAATAAGGAGGTGAACACAACGGGAACCTCAATATCGCATAGATTGGCATTTTAGTGTCTCGTCCCTATGCTGGTTGCCACTAGCCTCGCCAGCTATGACAAGTCGGAAGCTAACGATATTTTTGTGGTTTCGACGGAGACGTTTGCGCGACAGGTAAAAGAGAGGGAGATAGAGAAAGATAGCGAGAGAGAGGGAGAGAGACAGCGAGAGAGAGAGAGAATGATAAAAATAACTTCATTTCAGGCCGTTCGAGCAATCGGTACCTTCGAACTTATCTGCGGTTGCTGGCAGCACGATTTCCAGGTATGTTTTTAGGCTTGTTCCGTTCTTGATTTTTACCTTATTTAGAAACTCAGAAAACTTTAATATCTTTAACGATTTTTTGTGATTATAAAACTGTTTGGTAGCTAATTTGCATATCTCTAGATCGCCCTCGCCCAACTCATCAGCCCCTGGTTCTTCAAGCAGCTTTTCGTTCCATTCGGCATGTTGGGACTCCACCGGCAGCGGGTCGCCGATTTCCACAAGAAAAACAAGGATTAAGGAATTTTCCGTATGTTTTGAAGGAGATGTGAAGGCAAAATATGCTTCTGGCGGACAGCTAATACTCCATTTTGCCTTCTTGGTCCCTTTAAACTTATTATTGTACGATGAGCTTCTGGTACCTCCAATTTTGGCCCAGGGTCTCTGAGCTAATCTTTTACCCTTTAGTCCAATGCATTGATCCTCTCTAGAATAACCAAATATATCCCAGAATCTACTCCTTGAATGGATCTGATTTTTGTCATTGTGTTTTTGCGTATTTTATATTGAATAAAAACTCGAATAAATGCGATTTATGCAAGGCGATTTCGGAATTTTTGGGCTCGACGGGGGCAGTGGCAGTAGTTGGCGTCTTCGCCGGGGTTTCCCTGTAAAAGCATTTTATGTATCTCTCTCTCTCTATCTCTCTCTCTCGCCCTCTTTCTCTTTCTCTCTTGTACACACTCGTACTCGTTCGCTTTCCCGGCCTTCGCCTTCATTTTATCGTTTTATCGCCATTTCTCTCTCGTCCGTGATCGCTCTCGCTCGCTTTCCCAAATAACCTACATCAGCTCCTGCATCTCCAGGATATCCCGGCTGACCATCTTGCCCAGGTTGCCCCGGCTCTCCTGGCCGTCCATTTTCACCAGGCTGACCTTGCTTTCCTTGTTCTCCAGCCCAGCCAGGTGTTCCTGAAATAGGACGTTGCACTCCGTAGCTCAATTCATTACAATAAGCCGCCAAGGTTTTTGTAACTTACCAGGTTGTCCAGGCTCCCCATGTTGTCCCGGGTCGCCAGCGGGTCCCTTCTGACCCTTAACACCTTCCCTTCCAGGCATTCCAGGCTCTCCCGGTTTCCCACCCTCCCCATCAGGTCCTCGATCTCCAGGGTTTCCACCTGGTCCAGGTTGCCCGAGTCTACCCACAAGACCTGGGGCTCCAGGCTCACCGGGAGAACCCATTTCTCCGGGGCTTCCAGGATAGCCAGGAGGTCCGGGCGGGCCGTCTGGGCAGCGTCTGGAAAAGGAAGTTGAGTTGTAAATTCAGTTTTTTAAAGCTTTGAAAGTTTATGATGGTAATGTTATCATTAATGCACTTAAAACACCAAAAGATCTGGAGATACCTTCTCCTATTAGTGCACCTAGCTGCTATCTACTATCAATCGAAACTCAACCGCGCCTCGGCATTTTTTGTTTTTATTATCATAAGTATCCTTATATATTTTCCGGACCCTGGATTTTTAATTTCCTACTCTACTTTCGATCACAAAAATTAAAAATTTGTATTTTCATCGTTCGATGCGTTCGGTAAAAAAAAACTTTACGAAAGAAATCGGAAAATTACTGAATTGAACCATATAAAACAATATTACCAACCTGCAACCCTCAGCATACTTCCGCGGCTCCTCCTGTGGCGTCACGCCAACTTTCCCAACATCGCCCGGCATTCCGGGCATACCCATTTCCCCGGGTTCTCCAGGAGGTCCAGGACGACCTTTCGGGCCGGCCGGGCATCCGTTGTTGTTGTCGCAGGCTAAAAACGGCTCGTTTTGAGGTTGATATAGTTTTTGATCTTGTTAATATGTAGTGCTACTTACCGCATGTGCCAATCTCATAGGCCTGGCGCTTCTCGCGTTTCAGTCCCGATCGCTCCAAGCCACGCATATTATCCCTCACCTCACGCTCAAGGACTTTGAACTCGTCGTTGTGGGTCTAAAATGATGGATCGTCCTTTGTTGGTTATTTTTTGTTTCTTGTTTTATAAATTTTTAGTGGCGTTATAATTGCCAAAATTTTAATGTCAAGATTTGAGACCAAAGATGATTTTTCAAAGTGATTTTTCGGGTTTGATTACCTGTAGGTTGGACTGGATGTCGTGAATGTTGTTGGTCATCGACGGGAAGTAGACGACGCTGAGCAGGAGCGTGAAAGAGGAGAGTAAAATGGCCGAGTAGCAGGCCAAAGCTCCGGCGTCGGACTTCATCACCTAAGATTGAGTAAATGGCTTCTATAGAGGTATGCGATAAACCCAGGGAACTACCGGATAATACCTTAAAAAACGAGATTCTGAGAAACAACGGTTTTTCGGACGGTAATAACAAAATTTTTGAGCTCTGATCGAATAAAAAATTTCGGAACGAAAGTCAGTGAAGTCAAGGTTAAGACAGCGATAAGACCCTGAAAGATATGAGAATGATGCCAACCCCAACGTTGACCCCAAGACTGTCAGGAACCCGTCCGCTTCCTTTTATACCTGATTCCCCATCCCGAGTGGTTCGTTGTTCCAGATGCCAATCCACGACAGGGAGTGCGTCTCGCATTCCCGGAGGGCACGCAGCATCAGCAGCAGTTCCAATCTTGTCATATTGCCCCCCCCGCCGCTCGTATTCCCGGATACCGGTCTCCCTGCCCATAGAGCAATACCTGGCAATGCGGAAAAACGGAACGGGGGAATGAGTAGGACAAGAGGATAGTTTTTGAGGGTTGTTGATCATTATCTGGAGCGAAGACGTTGGTACTGGACTGTTAGCAGGAGAAGGCAAGTTTCAAACATTTTTTATTTTGCGAATATTGAAAAATTTTTAAAATATTTTTATAGTTTTCTAGCAAGCAAAAGTTATGCAGAACGTTCTAAAATTACGCCGTTTTTTCTTTACAGCTATGGACGGAAAAAAAGCAAAATTAATTTCCCGCTACTGAAGTTTTCAAGTTTTCGCAGCTGTGGCTGGCTAGTCAAGCTATGAATGGAATTTTGAAATTTTTGATTTATGCATGAAGCAATTAGAGAAAGGTCAATTTTCCATGAAAGCTAACGCACGTGCCCAACCGTTCGGCTGTGTTTACGACCAAGGGAAGGTCGGGCTGAATCGAAAACTTGCACCCGAATGGACTTTGGGTGCTTGGGAAGATCGTCTCTCCTCTCTCTCTCACTCTCGCTCTCTCTCACGCTCTCTCTCTCTCTCTAGCCCTCTCCAGCAAAACCCTTTATTCAAACGGCGTATGAAGTGCGATATGTACTGAGTATGATGTCAAGACAACGAAACGGACAAAACCGCCTAGTGAGTCCGAGCATTAAAGGGGCATTAACAATCGAGAGGGAAGGGGATGAATCAATTAAGCGAGTAGTGGCTGCTGCTCCGGCTTATTTCCGCATGATGAAGAGGTGGTTGGGGCGGTTGCTGAAGTTCTTGTAGGAGACCGGCGGGACGGCGCCTGGAAGGGATAATTGAGACCAGAAGTTTGTTGTGAAAATTCATCGAGGGGTGCAACTGCTCATCTACAAAAACTCACCGATCTGCAGCTTCCAAACACTGTCGGCCGTCGGGGCGAGCGTCGGCTTCTGCGGCACGAGGCACACCAGCGAGCAGTACGGGACCCTGGAAATTTTATGTAATATACCAGCGCCCACAACCCGCTTCGCGGGCCTTGGGCGCTGGAATGCGGCCTTTGCATGAGAAGTTTGACTTTCCAATAGCTTGGGTCCTTCGGACCCCCCCCCCGCCCCCTCCACCGGCCACACACGCGAGTGCAACTTGCAAGAATGAGGAGATTTGTATTTTTTTCACATTATGCAAATTATCCCTCCCGAACCCCCAAAATTAATAAAATCGGCTTTAACTTTGTAACCTTGTATTTTATCAAAATTCTGAGCACGCCATCGGAAACAGAAAGGTCGATTCCCCCGGGTGACGGAGAATTAAGGCATTTTGGACACGGGAAGGCCTTCAAATCGGGCCTCGAAATACATCCACATCCACACATCCACACACATACACAAAGATACACGCCAAAAATTATATAAGGTAGGATAGTGGTGAAATCGTGATCTAGGCACAATGACCACTTCAAGGAGTACGCCATCAGCGAAAAAACGCCGCGAAAAAGAAGTTCGAATCATAAAACGGTCCAATTCGAGGATAGTGAAGCGACCCCTTCAAGGAGTTCGAACGGAACCTAACATTCTCTCAAAAAGGATGTTAAATTTGCGATCGAGATCACCACAACTTTAAGGACTAAAATTCAATGAACTGCTTCAAAAGAGGCAAAGCTTGAGTTTAGGAAAAACGACAACTTCAAGCGGTACACCCTGCTGAAAGTAACATACCTGTCCCCAATCTTGTGCAGATCCTGCATCGTACTGTGCCGCACCGGCTCGCCGAGCAGCCCGACCGCCATGTCCACCGTCGACGCGTGCCCGACCACCTAGAAGATGATGTCTCTCTCTCCTCTCGCTCTCTCTTTCCCTCTCTCGCTCTATCTATCTCTCTATCTCTCTCTCTCGCCCTCACCAAAACCCTGCTTTCATCCCTTCTCGGCCCATCGCACGTCTCGGCCGTGGTGGCGATGCGGTGGAGGACGGTGTGGATGCGCTCGTTGTAGTCTTTGTTCGTCTCGCCCTTCTCGTACATCTAAAGGGCATCTACCAGATACAGAAGCTGTCCTTACCTGATCAAAATCAAACAGCGGCTTGTAGTCCCGGTCGACGCCGAAGCAGGTGCGGTGCTCGGGGCTGAGCAGCTTGGGCTTGGCGTCGTAGAGGGACATGTTCTCGAAGAGGCCCGGCTCGACGCGGAGTGAGGCCTGAGCTGTTTGGTGTCGTCGGAGAGAGTGCAAATACCGAGCTTCCAGAAGCCTGGCGCACAAATTCGGCCGTTTGGAGACAACGAAGGGCGGGGGAGCAGTAGATGACGTCTTGAAACAGGTTTTAATATCCTCCTGCTCCCATCAATGCTCAAATACCTGGACTCTTGTCCCGATAGTACAACCCCTGGCCGACGATTTGAGCAAGGATACAGCCGGTCCGCGTCAGCATCGGGTCACGTCGGTAGTTGTCGATCGGCCGGTGGATGGGCAGCTTCTGCGGCTGAAGAAGAGACTTGTCCAGAAAATCTACTTCTCACGCACCATGTTCAAGTCGTACGGCGCGTACGCCTCGGCCGGCTCGAAGCGCCGGTCCCACCCGGGGAACATGTCGTCCATTCGCTCGCTGTGCCGCATCACGGCCATCAGGGTCGGGTAGGAGAGCCAGCGCTTTCTGGGAGAAGAAGTTCAAGGAGTTCAACTAGCCTATACAGAATTTTAAAGAGAACGGGAAGGCACGACTCAGCCCTGGCTTGCCGGTCCCTTTAAAATTCATCCTCACTGCTCGTGCTCCTGCTTCTCGACGTTGGTGAGGCACGAGTAGGAGCCGATGGCGGACGCTTCGCGGGCGGCGGCTACGATTTTTCGATTCCCAATTTGCATATGAATACCAAATTACCATCACACTTTGCGCACGCGCAGTTCTCGATGACGGTGACGTCGGGCTTCTCCTTGAAGGCCATCCGGGCGGGCGGGTTGAGGGAGGGGATGACGAAATAATTTTTTGGTGGCTTGAAAACATGATTTTCTGCGACCGGAAATGGATGCAAATTGCCGAAAATTTAACAGAATTAAAATTATTTATGCAAATTACACATCCGGAACCGTATATGCAAAGTAGGCATCGGCCTGTTAGGTTTTACTAAAGGGCCATTAAAGGCAAAAGCTCACAGCAAAAAAATAAAATTTTACGGATACGTTAAAATTTTATAGGCGTTTTTTACGAAATCAATTTGCTTCGAATCCATTTTCCTTTAATTTTCATTTTTTATGCAAATTTGAATATTTTTTGTATTTTCCGGTTTTGTATCGTTTTTTGGCACAACTTATCTTTATTCTCGTAATCATCAGAATATCCATAGGGCAAAAATAATGCGAAAAACATAGGGGGGGTCGAGAAAAATCAGGGAATACGAAAACGGGGCGTGAAAAGGTCAAATAAATATATTTTAGGCGATAAAAATCGAATTAAACGACTCAAGGTGATTAAGAAGACTTTGGCACCTGGGTATGCAAATTAAGAGGGGGACTAGAAATGTTGTAATTAGCACAAATCGTGAAATCGTGAATTAGGTAAATTTGCATAAAATCAATAATATGGCTAATTGGTGTTTTTGGTATAACATGGCAATGTTGCATAGCCTGGGAAAGCTAGAAGGGGAGATAGAAGGAAGAGGAGGACGAAAGAAATAATGGGATTTCAAAAATAAAATAAGCAATTTATAGAAATGATAAAATAGAGAAAAATTTAAAATGTGCGTTGGCGTGAAAGACTAAAAATTGGGCTGCACCTCAAAAAATGTCAAAACGAGACACTTGAATGTTTTCGGTGGTCAGCAAGAGAAGTATGAGGGAGCGAGGAGGGGAGGTGAAATAATGGGACCTGGCAAGGCAAGACTATGGAATTTTGGCTATGGATTTTATGTAGATTTTTCCGCAACGCAACACGCAACGCAACACGTACGCTCTTTTACATAGCGTAATGGATTAGGGTTTTTCTGCACGAACAAATTGTTCCCGCGTTGCATTCGAGTGGCGTGTCGAGGTAACCGCGTAACCCGGAGGGTATCCATAACCAACAAATCCGTGATCTTTGTTTTGCACATTTCTTTAAAAATGCTGGCAGTGTGTTGCGTGATTTAGCAAAATGATAAATGCTAATTTGATAGTTTTAAAATTAGGAGGGTTTTTTGCAAATTTGTGCCTACGGTTTGGATAATTTTTGGGGATAGTGGCTGGGATTTTCCGGGATTTTCGGCTTTAGGAATGCATGAAATACCGTAATCACTTAATTTTTTAAGTTAGTAGCTACAGTACTCCTTCCGTTCATAGTAAGCCTCCGGAAAATCCAAACAACACATCCCAGACCCTAACAATCTCGAAAAATTAGGTGTAGAAGAGGAAAACAGCCATTCTTAGCTCTCATAAAAATGGGTGTTTTCCAGGGTAAGAAGTCAAAAGATGAAACGGGCTATAATTTTCAGGGAGGGCAAAGTAAAAAAAGGGGAGGAAGCTCTTGAGCGAGTGGAAATATTTTTAGTGAAATAATATTCAAAAATTGGATACAGTATACAAAATTCGCGGCGGGAGACAAGTTGGCGGGCACCGGTGTGAGAAAGAGAGAATTCGTCTCGGGAGGGGAGAAATAGGATAAAAAGTCAGATTAGAAGTGTTTAGACGATTACGGCATCATAAGAATGCTATTTTTGGGTGTAAAAAGTATTTTAGCGTACTTTAAAGGATCCTGAACGCCTGGAAAAGGTATGGATGTCGGAATTAGGCTAGAAAATTTGAAAAATCATGTTCTTTTCGATGTTTTGAAATCCATAAACACCTCCAGACTTCCGGGTCCCTTTAAGGAGTACGTTCAAGGTATACGTTAAAAACGCGGGGCTCCACTAGACGTCGTGCATCTTGCCCTCCTTGTTATCACAGTAGTTCTCCCAGAGGTTCTTCGCCAGCTCGTAGCAGGGCAACTCGCCGGCGTGTGTCGCCACCATCCTGAAAGAGGTCAGCATTAAAACGCTCTTGAGGTGGCTACAGTTCCGGCTTGCCTACAGCTTGCCCCTTGTACTACTTGAGCTCGTTGCTCCCTCACCTCAGTAAAAACACCCCGTCCTGTCTGAGGAAGTGGAAGACGAATCGTCGCAGCGACTGCGAGTCCACCATCTTGTAACCCTCGATCCCGGTGAGGTACTTGCCGACAAAGTTGAGCTGTCTGAAGGAGGTGATATTACGTAAGGAATCGAAATACTATGGATTCAAAGTAAAGGTACCAAGGTATCAAAATTCAGTTCGTAATGAGGCCAATACATACCTGCTTGGCACCACCGAAATGTAGATCCAGTAGAACAATGAGCAGATCGTCGCCCCGGCTAGCAGGAAGTACCAGAACCACAGGAAGAGGAAGATCTTCTCGTTGAACATGTTTATCATCAACACACACTGCACGGTATGTCGATGCACGTTGCCAAGGACCTAAGGTATGGATTTATCCATTAAAGGTTTCAAGGACTTACCTTAACCTCAAAATCGCACAACGTAACACGGGGAAAGTGACCCGACTCTTCCCACTCGCGTCCGTTCATCAGATCGTTGAGAACCTAGAAAGTGAGATAGATAGTGAGTGAGAGAGAGAGAGAGAGAGAGAAAAGAGCGCACACGAGAGGGAGAAGTGAGAGAGAGAGCGAGAGACCGAGAGCGAGAGAGCGAGTGACGCTACCTACCTGCAGTCCGTACCACCGACTCCGGTTCCCCAAGAAGGTGTTCAAGAGGAATATTTGGCCGATGATGTTGACGGTGTAGAGAATTTTTACCTGAATTTGATGCCATAATTGGTTATACCTTTAGCTGTCCTTTAAAAGGGCTACTTGATGGGTGACAAAATTTCAAAGTTTTGAGCCTTAGATTCTGTCTTTTAATTTGTAAAATTCATAAATTATATAGCTTGTAGGATTAAAAAACTCGATTAAAAACTCAATAATTAATTAATCAATAATTAAATAAGAAAATCGTAATAAGATTCATAACTTACTGAAATATAAAGAAAAGTGACGGCGGCCCCGCTGGACCGGGTGCAGATGATGAGGTTGAGGAGCTTGAACTTGTTGCCGGCCATCTGAAAAATTGTAATTGGATTACTTTGTATTTCTAAAGCGTTAAACCAATTTTTGAAACATAAATTGCAAATAAGTTTCAAGGCTCGCAGCCAGAACCGATATCTGGATTCGTAGAAGTTGTCGGTTAAGCTATACCTGGCCAAAAATGGCGCCTTTCCGTCTCTGGATCAGAATTTTTTGTTATTGGCTGTTATTGTGATAGTATAGTTTGAATTAGGGATTTTATTTTATTTTTGTATGTTTTATTTTGTACATTTTTGGATTTAAATATTGTTTTAAAGAGTTTTCTTTTTAACTCTTTTTTCCGACCCCCGATAGAAGCCTGCCGCCAAATGCCGGGCGCTGCATTTCGGATTATTTTACGCCGGCCGTTTTCAGGATGTTAACGGAATTGGCGCAAAATTCCCAGCTTGAAAAAGCATTGTTGTCTATTTGATTGATAGGCGTGAAAAGGGTCGCAGCTTTTGATGCATCAATTAACTCGATTCGATCAATTAGGGTTTGGCATGCTAATTATTTCTCTCTCTCTCTCTCTCCCCTCCCTCTTTCTCGCTCTCTCTCTCTTTATCTCTCTCTCTTTATCTCTCTCTCTCTATCTATCTCTCTCTCTCTCTCTTGTGCTATCAGGCTGGACCGAAAGTCTTTACAATCGATCTTCAAGCCGGTTTTGTAAAAATGTTTACCACCCGGCCGCCGGGATTTTTACACCAATAGTTCAGTCTAAGATGCTACTATAGCACATAAAAATATTTAATGGATTCAGCCTATATTTATTTTTCTATGACCGGTTCTCCCTGAGACACAGGTCGACCCGACGCGGCGGCATTCGCGAGCCCTCTGCTCATCGAGCCTTATGAAAATTTCTAAAGTCAGAATCCTCCCAGCATAACCGGCGGTATATAGTGTCAGTATCATATCTTTCAAGCTACGGTGCCAGATTCGCCAAACAACTTTAGAGCTTGTTGTTATTGTCTTTGGTATAGAACAAAATCCCGATTCGGGATGAGTTTGATGAAAAGGGACTTATCAATTCAATGACGACCGCGAATGTAGAAGCGCTCCACCTATTTTGAAAAACATTTAATTGCGAACACTGTGACGACACCATTTAACAAGCTGCCCTGCTTTTACGGGAAAAATTTTTGCAACCAAATGTAGCGTCGAGTAACCGACGCGGGATCTGGCACCGTCATTAGATTTCGCTTATTATTCTTAAATCTTTGGTGATCAAATTTTTTCGACAAAACACGGCAATTACACATCAACAGTAAATAAGGTACTTAAATTATCATTGCCCCAAAGCCATTAGTTGAGTTTGAGAATACAAAAACAAAATTGTGTAGGAAAATCTGGGTTTAGGCTCTTCTGCGGCCCGTTATAAAAGATTTGTCCCTAGGCAATATACGCGTTTGAAATAGTGTGAACCAAGCTACATATCGCTAAAAAATTCTTAAAAAGTTAGCCACCAAAATCGGAAAAAACGGCCGACGAAGGGGATTTGTTATTTTGGGGCCCGAAACCCCGATTTGACATCTTTCTAAAACGTTCCGGAAAAAAGTATGAGGCCACCTATTCAAATTTTGTTCGATACATTTGATAGTACTACTGCTGTTCTATCTGCTATTAATTATTCACGTAGCAGTGGCCTCATCGGCGGACAACATTTTTACGAAACCTAAAATGAGCGAAAATTACAACGTGCAGGGTTTTGCCTCATAACTTCAAAAGTAGCAAAAGAGGGAAGTTGAAATCGGGCGTGCAGGAAGCTCATATTTGACCCTTAATCATGCTAAAATATGGCAAAGATAGGATGGCTGCTTTCATAAATTTTTTGCGTCCGAAAAATTGTAATTACTTTCGGTCCAACCATGTAATTAGGGTTTGAAACTTACCACTTGATGTTTGACGTGCAGAGCTTCCTCAACATTTGTTGCTATCGTGTTGAGGGCTCGCTTCCTCGACTCGTTGTCCAATAATCGAGAGTCGCACGCCATCTGGACGAGGGATTGTACGTGGATTCCTGAAAATGGGTCTTCTCATAGAATCTCAGATCTTATGTATTGATTTTCGTCCGAATTTTTCACTTATGGCCGTAAAAAGACATATTCTGTCTTTCCAGCATCTTTAAAAATTGCCTTGCCTTGAAGAATTATGTGGCTTCGGAGCCCCTTTAAAAGGTGTATTTTAGATCCGGTACGTTCAAAAATACGGTATGCCTTCTCTAAGACATTGCCAATCCGGCATCCTAAAAATGTCCTGTTTTTCTATAGCTTGAAAAAAGTTTTACGACTTTTCCCATGCCCTAAAAATTTTACTACTACTCTGAATACCTTTTCAAAGTTATGCCCTAGAGCAGCTTCCGTATCCAAAGTCCAGAAACGCTTCAAATTTCCAGACCTCCTCGCGATGCAAAATTTCATTCGAATCCGAAATTCCCCCGTAGCAATAACCACGCAAAGATATAGCCCCCTCCGCGGAATCCCTCTTTTTTTCGTCCGCTGCGTATTTCATTCCATCCCTCTTTCCAATGCCCGTTGATGGCAGCCGATCTTTCGCCCTATTGCTCGAGCTGCTTCTCCCCCCTGGAGGGCTCAAGCCAAGGGCCTGGCGGGCCGAAAAATTGAATCGCCGGCCCAGGGGCGCATCCCCTGCTCACTCACGCACACACACACACACACAAATACTCACACAAACGGACAGAGAGAGAGCGAGAGAGAGAGAGAGAGAGAGAGAGAGAGAGAGAGGGAGTAGAGAAGAGAAAGAGAGACGGACAGACATACAGACAGAGGCCCGTAAATCGGGTCCCTGGCAGGCGCTACTGCCTAGCTCGGATTCGTCAGCGGAATTGACTGGAGTGGGTGTGGTTGAGTACGTGAAGGGTGTGAAAAATACTTGGGGTATTTTGTGGGCGCTACAACTTTTAAAGTAAAACTTTGGAGTCAGTTTTTGAGCACGAGAATGAGAGAAGAAGACGAGAAAAGGGAGAAAGTTTAGGATCGAGCCAGATAAAATTTGATAAAAAATGTGAGCGAGAAAGACAGAAAGCAAGGGAGAGATAGTCAGAGAGAGAGCGATAGGATGTACAAAAGAATCAGCGGACGCGCAAAGTAGTAAGGACCATAAATTTGAGAGGGAGTAAATCTTAATAAAGAGAGCGAGAGAGAGGAGGAGCGAGAGAGAGAGAGAGGGAGAGAGAGAGAGAGAGAGAGAGAGAGAGGGATGGAGAGAGGGTTTGGAACGTAAGAGATGGTAAGAGATAGGAAAGAGATTTCGCTTCTTATCGTCGAAATTCAGTTAATTATCAAATGATTTTAGCGCTTCCTTGCGCCCTTAGGGGCCTTTTTTTTACCTTTCCCACTCCAAATCTGCATCCCAATCTTTCCTCCACAAGCAGGAATAGAAAAAATCCCAACAAACCCCAAAAACTCCCAGGCTAAGGATTTAGCAATTCATCCCCCTCGCTATTTACCCTTTCCCAGGGCTCTTTTCAACCTACCTGGGCTGCTAGCTAACTCAATTCGTTTTTTTGTGGGCCCAAAACTTTTGAGAGGCCCTTGCCTGGGCAGAAGCCGCAGCATTTCAAAAGCCGAGGGCTGGCCAAGAGCGGGCTTTTGCCCCCTCGGGGATAGCCTCAGGCTATGTGGCCAAAAAGGACGGGAGGGAGCAAGAATATGACGTATTCGTCTAATTCCTTCTTTGGCTTTTGGAGGGGGAAGATGGAGCAGTTTTTGCATTGGTTGAGGAACTCCCAGGCAGTTTGAAGTGTTCCATATGAAACTGGGGAATTGTATAGCGCGTTAATGGTTTTTTGTATGTAGGTAAAGAACTCTTCTAGAACTAAAGAAAGCCTACGCGAAAAATTAGTAAATCATTAATGCGCCAAAATTGCGAGCAGGTGTTTATCGCCGAAAAATAGCAACTATTTTTTCGGAATGATCGAGCTCTGTAAAACCCAAAAAAACCGACCAGACTGCCAGCTGAGTAACCGCCACACGATCGTCGGAACGTAGAATAGCAAGGCTTCGAGTGCGAGCACGAATGGGACCCATTGGTAGTATCTGAAAAACTGAGCGTAGAAGGTATCTTAAAATGTTGAAGTTTATTCAAAAGCAAAAAACTATCTACAGTGTCTTTTGCGAAAAATTAAACATTATAAAACTCGGAAATGCCGCTTTTATGCTCGTATTTAGATAATAAACACAACAGGATCGTAGATAAGAAATAAGATGGTAAGAAAATTACGACTGGTCCATTTTGAGGCATATTTTTTAAGCGTAGCCTCTAGCCAACTTACCCAATCTGCCTATTCTCCCTCTCCGCGTAGTTGTGCGGGATGTAGTCGTGCAGGGGCAAGAAGTAGGTGTTCTGCACCCAACAGTAGTTCTCCGTGTACTGCTCCATCGGCTCGGTGAAGGTGGCGGGCACCCAGCATTGGATTGGGAAGCCGACATACTGCTTGGCTGACACCAGGATGGCGAATACTGAAAAAGAGGAATATTTCGATTTCTACGAATTTTTAATCTCTCGCTTTCTGCCTATTTCTTTCTCGCTCTCTCTCTCTCCTCCTCTCTCTCTCTCTCTCTCTCTCCATCTCTCTCATTCTCTTTGTTTCTATTCCGGTCTAGAGCTTGGACTTTTAGAGGTTTGAGCCCTATAGAAGAAAGATAGGGACGCGAGAGAGGGCAAGAGTCACCTGGCGAGAGTAAGACGGAGCGAGAGAGAGCAAGAAAAAGCAATGGAGCATCAGGTTATGTCTATGATTCTCTCATACCCCGCCGTAGTAGTTTCCAACTTGTTTCACCAACACGCAGAACCCTTCCGAAAATAGCAGCTGCTAATTATTTATGCGTCGCATCCCCCTTGGCCCTGACTGGCAAAGTCTAATTCCTCAAGAATTTTTTTGTGAAGAACAAAAGCCTCGTCTGCCCCACCAATTCCACTTTGCACTTTATGCCTAATTTGTTCGGGTGGCCTTTCGGCGATTTGAGGCGAGAGAAAGAGAGAGAGAGAGAGAGAGAGAGAAAGGGGGGAGGAGAATGAGATGAAGCTGTCCTGGCTAGACAGAAATAATTGGGGGTGCTAGCCGGAAGTTCAGAGAAGCCTGCTCCGATTGCTTCTGACGCGTTCGGTGAATATTTTTTTGTTTTTGAGGGCTTGAAATTGCCAAGAAAAATTTATTTTCTGGGAGTAAAATTAATTTTTTGAACTTTACAGTGTTTGAAAGGGGTTCTGAATTGTTGGTACGGCCATAGTTGACGGCTCCAGGGCTTTTAAAATGGTGGAAAAATTAAAGTCCCGCAAAACGCTGCAGCTATGATTTTTAAATTTGGAAATTTATGTTTTCCAGTATACAGATTTTCTTGAAAAGTTTTCCCCTCATTTTCCCCTTTGATTTATTGCCAGACACCAGAAAAACCTTGTTTTTCAGGTCATCGGAGTTTTTCATAGCCGCGGCGATAGATCAGCCGGCCGACCGCTCGCTCTTGCTCAAAAGCTCGGTCAGCCCGACAACTGTTCGCGGCAGCCAGATTGGAAGGGCGATGGGCCATTGATCAATCAGGGCTATCAAAACTTTGTGAGGAGGCTATTAGTTAAGTACGGGGATCTGAAGGTATCGGACGATACTTTAGAGGGGAAAAACCATACCACAAAAATAATTAAAAAAGCTTACTAATGAAAAATTCGACTAAAACCCGAAAGAGCCTTATTCAAATCTTTCGGCTTAATTACTATGAAACTATGCTTGGCTACGACACGCAACGCTCCTTTAGATTGCGTAATGGAATCTAGGCGTTTTTGTGGCTACGTCGCGTGCGCGTAGCGGGTCGCGCCACGGCGGAATCCTTGGGATAACCATCAGGTTTTTCTGCACTTTTAAAAGTTGATAGATTCGCTCGTGCTCATTCACGCTCTCCCTCTCTCTCGCTCTCTCTCTCTCGCTCTCCCTCTCTCTCCCTCTCTCTCGCTCTCACTCTCCCTCTCTATCTCCATTTAACCAGCCACGTCACTTCCCACTACCCCTATAGGTTGGTTGGGTCGGTGGGGGTACTTGGCCCGGGCCGCTGGCCAGGATGGGGCTCATTTGGGTCTGGTGGGCCAAGGGCTGGGCCCCAAAATTGATTCCCAGTTTTCGGGGGTCCAGGGTTGAACCCAGCGGCGACCCCGCGTGGTCTCGAGTGGAATAACGAAGTAATTTGGAGGGATGAAGTTGGGTAGGGTTGTCGTATCTGTAGCTATCGTATATGCGGTTAATATTCCTTAAAAAGAGAGATGTAACGAGAGGGCGAGAGAGTTCGAAAAGGCTGTTGCTTTTTGCAAGGCCTTTTGCAAGACCTTTTGCAAGTTCTTTCTATCATGCTTTCTCTCTCTCTCCCTCCTCTCTATCTATCTCGCCCTCACTCTCTCTCTCTTTCTCTCGCTACCCCATTCAAACACTTGGGCATCAAATGGACCACTTTTAGGGAGGAAACGGCCCTGCTCCGGTCGGTCTGATATTGAAGGGCCCGCGCTGCCGGGGTTGGGCGGATAATTGCCCACAGCTATTTTTGGGCGCTAGCATACTGGCTTTTTGGGGGACCCCCAAATGCATATGCTAAAGTGCTACTATTTAGGGAGGTTGTATAGCGGGCTAATCGTTGGGGTTAAGATGAGTGATTTGGGTGGGTAGAGGTGATATTCAGAATCTTCACGGAAATGTCGAAAAGCTCCTAAAATCCTGAAAATCAGGCTAATGCATGGGCAGTTTATTAAATTAACGATGAAAAATAAGTGTGGGCTTCAAACTGGACGCCGCAAAATTCGCAAGAAAAATAGTATAGTAGGCTGCTCAACCTCAAAATCCTTTGAATATGCGTGTCCTCGAATTTTCTTTATCCCAGCATTCGGTTTTATCTTAATTTTTAAATGTCTACTGTTTTGAGTCGGACTCAAAATTGCGTGGGTCCCCTGCCTCCACACCTCCCATGTTTCCTATTGCAAAAAAGGTGGCGAACGAAAGGCTCCTATGCACACGCGCACATGTCCCTGCTGTTCGTATAGGAACAATTGGCATTGGCGTGGCGCTGGCTTTTCCCCCCGACCTCGCCGTAGAATATTGATGAGAATAGCGTACGGGTTTTGTGTCAGTTGAGAAAGAGAGAGAGAGAGAGAGAGAGAGAGAGAGAGATAAAGAGAGAGAGAGAGATAAAGAGAGAGAGACACAAAGGTACCCGAGAGAGAGTAAGAGTTTTTGGCCCCTCGCCTTGTCGGGTCGGTTGGACTTGGTAAGGGCCAACAAATGGAGAAGGAAGGGCACGTCAGGTCGACGCTGATGAATAGGAAATTTGGTGGGTTGTGGCGAGTGGAAGCTGGCTGGGAAGTGAAAATGCGAAGCGAGGAAAAGCCGAAAAATCGAGGACTTGGGATTCCGGGTATCCAAGGTATCCGCAAGTGCAATTTTTGCAGAAAAACGGGGCAAAAAAAAGTGAAAGAAGGCCAGAAGCTAATTAATCATGTCTTAGTGATATGTATCGATGTTTTTGTAGTTTTTAAAGACCTTGGCAAGCTTCCAACCCGCAAAAAATTGAAGGCTACTGACGATAAACAATAAAGCACTGGAAAACTCTGAATGGAGCACTGGAAGATGGAGTAAATGTAAGATTAAAACGGGATTCCAGCAAAGGAGAACTAACTATTAATGCATAGGTTTCGTTTTTCAACAATTTCAAGAACTGGGGAAAGCTCCAAAAAAACTGGCAAAACGCCAAAATTCTGAAACAATACTGTAGTATATGCAAGACATGTATGAAATGTATTAAACTAAAATCATGAATAAGAAGAAAAAGAATATAGAAAATGTCTACAAAGTTATAGGCTTGAGTTATACAAACCTGTAATAATGCTGGTGGTGTAGTAATAGTTGAGCTTGTCGATGATGTCATCATCTACGTGGAACTGAAAAACCATGATTAAACGAGAGAGAAAGAGAGTGAGAGAGAAAGAGCGAGAACGAGAGAGAGCGAGACAGAGCGAGAGTGAGAGAGAGAGAGAGCGAGATCAATACTACTTACCTGAACCGACTTGACGGCACTGGCGAAATAATAGAGTAGCATAGCCAATGTGCCGGCTTGTTGGTCACACCATCACCTAAATAAAAGGTTTTCCCTTTGTATTTTTGTTTTATTAAATTCTAAATTCTATACTATGTTTTCTTAAGGCTGTAATCCGCTTCTCCTCTAGAGTGCGAAATGCCCTCGAGAGCCAGCTGGGCCCCCGCTCTCGACAGGTGTACGTGACACTTCACCTGACGGGAGAGATCGTCAGGGTAAACTGGTAATTAGCGGCTGGTGCGTTAGAAGGGGGTGCTTCAAGTATTTTTATAGCAAATATCGATCGTTCTTACTAACGAAAACGTCGTAGTTTAAAAAAACGCTAAAATCTCGGGCGAAGACTTTGAATCCATGCAAATTTGCCGGTCCAAATGCCTCACCTGAAAAGGGGATGATGCGACAGCGGTCGGCTCTGCCTCTATTCTACCGACTATCTGCAAAAAATGGATTAAAGATAATCCTCGAAGACAAAATAGAAAATGGAAAAATCGAACTATGACGTCAAAAGGAAAGAAAAAACGAACGTGGAACTTAGCGCAATTTGTGATGTTACGGAATACTAGGAAAAGCAAGTAAAGATCTGCTAAAACAACGAAACCCGAGAAAAAGAGCGATAAGGAGAGAGAGAGAGAGAGAGAGAGAGAGAGAGAGAGAGAGAGAGAGAGAGAACGCGCGAGAGAGAGAGAACTCAGAGAGAGAGACAACTCGCCTTTGCAAACTAGTTTCTAGGCTTTGCGTGAGTTGCAGCTTTACATACTGTAAATCTAAAAAATAGTACCCCTTCAGGATTTGAATGGCTAGTTTGAAGCGAATACAACCAAGTACGGCCCGGGCCAGCAAGGAACACCCAAAGAGCCAGAGAAAACGACAGAAACACTGACAGCCGGGCCGAGACGAATTTTGAGGGGGTGCCCGCAGGCAAAACAATCTGAAAAACGGAAAACGACGCTGAATGAAGGGGCGAGAGAGAGCGAGAGAGCGAGAGAGAAAGAGAAAAAAGAGCGAGAAAGAGAGACAGAACTAAAAAAACTAGAGTAAGTGACAGCAAGATCTCACCCCTCTGGCCCTCCACCTTCCCCACAACAAACGAATATGCCACCAGGGAGAATCGGGAGGAGGAAATGCCCGGGCAGCAAATAAATATCCTTCTCCTTCTTTGGGCCGGAATCCTGGATGGGAGCGGGATATTAGAATATTATTATTGGTATATATTGTATTGGTTGGTATATTTATTGGGCGGGATATTTATTGGTATTGGTATATCGTAGAAAATTGATAACTTGTTTTAGAACTACAGAAAAGCCTGGGGAAGCCTTTGTTCCATCAAAGCTAAAAGCATTTCGGAAACCATGAATTAAAATTGAGTGGAAAATACTTTTCGAAGTATTTAATCTGGTTTTTCCACGTAAAAAAACGCGTCTTATTCCTTTACCATTTTCAATCAGCGAAATGGACCCGAACGCTGAAAAAATTGGTTTTTTAATCAATTAAGACCAATGTGAGATACGTTAACGGCTCTGCGGGAAAAAATATGGGAGTTACGATAATTTCTGAGGCTCTTAAAATCTCCATTTATTGAATTTCATGGCGACTCCGAAAAGTTAAGGGCCTTAAAAGCAAAGAAACCGCTAAAATTTTAAAATTAAATTTTATCCTCGTTCTAATTTGGAAGGTTATGGAATTTTTTAAGCAAAAATGTTTCTAACGGCGACTGACGATCAACAGTGATATTTTTATTTTTGCATGGGTTACGTGGGTGTTTACGACATCGAAAATTGTCGAAAAGTTGCCCTTAATGAAAAGCGTAAGTTTTACCTTCAAGTTTTCAGAGCTTTACTCACTGTCTAGGATGACGAAAAAAGTTAATGAACATTTGATAGCTATCCTAGCTAAAAGAAGTCGTTCCGGATGGCTCCCAAATGTCGGAGTTTCGTCTGGAAATCCAGACAAACCGAGGAAAATCAGTGAAAACTCTGGAAAGGATAATACGAAGGAGACTTTCAATGCGTAAGTCGCCAAATCGAAACAAGAATAGTAGGCTTGGAAATGTATATCATAGCGTAATTACCTCAGCAGATAGGCAGAAAGCATATACCAGCTGTTAGCGACGATATCGACAATTTTCGAAAGCCTAAACCAATCCAAAAATCCATTATGATTTCAGAATATAACCTCCTAACCACCCGCCCATAAAATAACTCCCCTAAAGCGTGGCCCATCCCCTCCCAGGCCCCCCACACGTCTATAGGTAAAAAGTAAAAAAGTGTGTGTGGCGCGGCGGCATCGGGGCAGGAGCACATGGGGAGGGGGATGTGGCTGGCCCTCCCGCTGGGCCCTTGGGTTGAGGCGGCCCAAAAGGGCCAGCCAAAGGGCCCAAAGGACCCAAAGAGAGCTCCAAAGGGGCAAGGGAGAAGCAGCTAGGGGAGGGGAGGATGGCTGGGGGGCATGAAGCCTTGGGACCCACAGGGAGGGGGAAACTTTTCTGCGGGCCCTCAGGGCACACACACATACACACAGCCACTGGCAGTTGTATAGAGAGAGCGAGAGAGCGAGAGAGAGAGCGAGAGAGAGCGAGAGAGAGACTCCCTCAACGTCTCTGGGCCCTCTCCCTGGGCCCTAAGCCCTTACCCCCCTGCCACACATGGGCCCCAAGGGAGCATAGCGGCGCTAGGGGGGAGGATGCCAGGCTGAGAAGCCAATACACGATCGATCTCTAGCCGCCCTATTTTTCTTTGGGTCTCTTCTATGATAACACTCTCTCCCTTGGTCTCTTTCCTGGGTCTCTGTTTTCTGGGGCCCACCCCCTGTGGTTAGGCAGATGCGCGCCCGCGCGGTGGCATGCAAATTCCGATGCAAATTTGGGTCTTCATTTTTTGGAAAAAATATCTTCTGCACCGGGTTAAGCTTTTACTGTATAAGCGTTATAATAAATCAAAAGCACGCATTTAGCCTCAAAAAATTTAGGGGCTTTGTAGAGAGTTTTTGCTTTATTTTCACCATTGGTAAACTTTTACTGCCCTTTAATACTTGAAATTTGCGTTTTTGAGAACCCGTCGGTATCGTTTCCCTATTTTTCAAATCCTGGCGATTTACAGGTCGTGATTGGTTGTCAAACGAATTCTAGGTTCAGAGAAACGATTTTGGAACCTTTTAAGGCTTTTGGAAGGCGAGATTTTTTGGACAATGGGTTAAGAAGCAGCGCTGAAAGCTGGAAACTCAATTAAAATTAGGGAATGTTATTTTTTTCCGGCAAAAGGATTTTTGAGATGGGGAAGATGGGGAAGAAGTCATAAGATTTTTTTGCTTCCCAGTCCCTGGAAATTCTAAATTTTAAATTTGGTATTGCGAGACACTGTGAGACTAATCTAGGCCTAAACCTAAGCCAAAGCCGAAGCCGACCTAAGCCTAACCCAATTCTAAGCCTATGCGGAAGTCTAAGCTTCAGCCTAACCTAAGCCCCAGCCTAACCCTAAGCTTAAGCCCAAGCCTAAGCCCAAGCCTAAGCCTGAGCCTAGGGACAGCCTAAGTTTAAGCCTAAGCCCTAGCCGAAGCCAACCCCCAGCCCAAACCCCATCCATAAGAACACCTCCCAGTTATTGCCATTCCATCGATATTGCCACCCCTTCTTGGGGGACGTCAGTTCCAGCCAGGCAGCCAGCAGCCGGCGTCCCCCCTTCCCCGCGCGGTGTGCCTAACGAAGTATGCAAATTCGGGCAGACTCTCCACAGCCCAGGGCCCGCCAGCTAAGGGCCCATGACGGGGGATAGGGCCCAGAAGGCTAAGGCCCCAGGCAGCAGCCCTCCCAATTACCCGGCACATGGAACCGACAGGAAACGGATTATTCGGGGCATGCCTGGGGGGAGGAAGGCTCCTTCGGTTGACTTGATGGATCCTTAGGATTTCGGGGACATGTCCCACCCAGCAATGGGAACATTAATTTATTGCCCCCAATAGAGAAGGGGAACATCAAAAGGGTCGAAAAGTTGGTGAAGCGCGAGGAAAAGTTGCGAGTTTGGGACCGGAACATCCTAAAGCGGGTGAAATGAGAGAGGTGAGAAGGGGGAGAGGGGGCGAAAGAGCGAGAAAGAGAGAGAGAGAGAGAGAGAGAGAGAGAGAGAGAGAGAGAGAGAGAGAGAGAGAGAGAGAGAGAGAGAGCAGGCGAGTAAGAGCGATAGAGACCGAGAGAGCGCCGGTGATCTGGAGAGATAACGACAGAGAAAGGGTCGAGAGACAGAGAAAGAGCGAAAGATAGAGAGAGAGAGTGAGAGAGAGAAAGGGTGAGAGAGATAGTGATGGCAATAAAAGGAATTTACATAAGAAGAGCGAAGAAGGAAAACGAGAAAGTTGCCCAAAGCAAATTTTGTCGTTTGGTGGCCAGAATCGGATCAGGTCGTAAAGCTTTTCGAGTTTGCCGCGCGGGAGGGGAAGGGGGTAATTTGGGTCAAAATTGTCAAAAAAGCGCAAAAAGACGCCTAGGCAACGCGGCTTGACTCTAGGCACCTGAAACGGAAGTGAATAATAAGCGTCCGAAGGGGTTAAAAACTTCATGTTTTGCACGCAAATTGTGAAAATCGTGTCTAAAGGTAGTTCAAAATCGAGAGAAAAAAGTGGGAGAAAGAGAAAGCGAAAGAGAGACAGAGAAAGAGAGAGCGCGTGAGAGAAAGAGATAGAGAGAGAGCGCGCGAGAGATAGAGAGAGCGAGAGAGAGAGAGATATATAGAGAGAGAGAGCGCGAGCGAGAGAAGAGTGAAGAGTGAGTCAGAAGCTTCAAAATTAAATTCCAGCAACTCCAGCAAAGGCCAGGTAACCTAAGAATATCCATATCCGTCCCCCAGCGGGTCCGACGGCTCGATCTGCAACACGGGTAGAGGAGAAGCGTGGGTGAGCCGCTGTCGAAGTAACTTGAGCCCGGCCAGCTGAGTCAGGACACCCACCAACGGCTAGTCGCCCAAAACGTGTGCCCGCCGGGTTAACAAGCTGCCCTTGTGGAAATTGAAGCCCAA